AGAACGTCCCGATATTACCGGGGCGTGCATAAAAAACGACCATCCGTCGGTATGATGAGGTAATGGCGCTCTGCATTAGAAGTAATGATCGTGCGTGTCGTACGAAACGTGTGAGGGGTGTGCCGCGAAACGGGCGCGGGGCCAGAATACGCTCAAACAGGGCCGTTCCATTATCTTCGCCCGCGCGTGAGGCCACTGTATCGTTTCCATTATCTTCGCCCGCGCGTGAGGCCACATTCTCGGTCCCATGAGATTCGCCCGCACGTGGGGCCACATTTTCGCACTCATCTGTTACAGCCCAAAAATCGCGTTCGCCCTCCCCCCCTCCCCCCCATGGAGCAAAGCTGGGTGGAGGCGGAAGCACCGACCTGCCCGGCCCACGAGTCAGCTTTGCACTTCGGGGGGGAGGGGGGGGGAGGGAAAGAGGGAGGGAGGGAGGGAAGGTGGAGGAGGCAGGAGGAGGAGGAGGACGACAACGACGAGGAGGAGGACGAGGAGGGAGGAACAGCTTTGCACTTCGGGGGGGAGGGGGGGAGGGAAAGGGGGAGGGAAGGGGGAGGGAAGGGGGGAGGGAGGCAGTGGGGGAGGAGGGGGGAGGAAGAGGAGGGTGAAGGGGAGGAGGAGGGAGGAATGAGGAATGAGGAATGAGGAATGAGGAATGAGGAATGAGGAATCAGGAGGAGGAGGACGAAGGAGGAGGAGGAGGAGGAGAAGGAGGAGGAGGAGGAGAAAGGAGGAACAACTCTGCACTTCGGAGGGGAAGGGGGGGAAGGGAAGGAAGGAGGAAGGGAGGGAGGAGGGAGGAAAAGGAGGAATGAGGAGGATGGAGGAGGAGGAGGGGCGACGAGGAGAAGGAACGAGGATGATTTTCAAATGGAGTGCGAAGGAGTGCCTCTGGGGAGTATCTCCAGAGGCTTTCGGGCGGAGTGCGGACGACTGCGGAGGATTTCAAATTCGAGCGGAGGCCTCTGGGGAGCACCTCCAGAGGCCTCCAGGAGGAGTGCGGACGAATGCGGAGGATTTCAAATTCAAGCGGAGGCCTCTGGGGAGTGCCTCCGGAGGCTTTCGGGCGGAGTGCGGACGAATGCGGAGGATGTCAAATTCCAGCGGAGGCCTCTGGACTGCCTCCCAGAGGCTTCCGGGAGGAGTGCGGACGAGTGCGGAGGATATCACGTTCGAGCGGAGGCGTCTGGGGACTAGTGCTGGAGGCCTCCGGCGGGAGGATTGCGGACGAGTGCGGACGATTTTGAATTGGAGGCTGGAGGATGGGAGGGTGGGGCGGCGGGCGAGGGAGGGGGGAGGGATAGGCCCGGCGACAAAGAAGCGACCACATCTTCTTTGCGAGACCTTGCATGCAGAGGCTGTGATATGATTCGGGCAGGCCCAGTGAGGCACACATGAAAACATCTCCCTGGCGAAGACGTGCGTGCAGAGGCTGTGATATGTTTTGCCAGCCGCGGTGAGGGAGACTTCAAACCATCTTCCTTGCCAAGATGTGCGTGCAAAGGCTGTGATGCGATGATGTTGGCATGTGAATCGAACGATGTCGTGCGTGCGATTGCTGTGCGATGATCTGGTTGTGATGTGGAGGCAACTGTGAACCGAACGATGTCGTGCGTGCGATGGCTGTGCGATGATCTGGTTGTCATGTGGAGGCAACTGTGAACCGTCTGGCGCGCTCCGCGTGCCACGGTCGTTTATTTTGCACACACCGGTATCGTTTGCCTATTTTAAATACTCCTCCTATAGAGGAGCACGCCCGACTTGATAATATTAGGGGACACGCCCGATTTGATAATAATAGGGGCTCCTCGGGGCTTCCTGTCTCCACGGATGGACCCGCCTCGAACACAGAGGCTTCCCAAATGGGGCCCGCGTAGATGGACTCGGAGGATCGCTATTGAAACAAGACGAGGCGCCATGAAATCTGGGCAGATATCATGCCCCCCGCCATGATATCCACCCCCCCTAGTCATCACCCCCCTCCTGGCCGCCCCCGACCAGGGGCACCTCCCTGGAACCAGCTCGTCATCCTGATCGGTCGAGTTCTGCCGGTCCCGGGCCAGCGGAACGACCCCAGAAGCCCGCAGGCGATCAGAGACCTCAGGACCCGTTACCCGCAGGACCCGCTTGCTCCATGGAGAGGCGTACATTGGAGGCCAGTCCACAAGAAACCTTCCACAAGAAACCTAACTCTGGGACCCTAGGGCGTCCGTGGATTTTTGGTGTGGGAACGTCACGCTTTCCGTAGCAAAACCATCGAAACCCAAGAAACCCAGGGCACCCTGGAGGCAAGCAGGGTGTCCCTTGGCATGGGTTTCCACTGCGTACGACCTTCCAGCCGAGGTCGGGAGACCCATGCACTATCCTGGGGCCAAGGATCTGGGTGGTCCAGCTTGGCGCGCCGCTCCCCGCGTGCGCGACCTGCGGCCATCCTCGCGCACTCGCGCCGCCGCCCTGGAGAAGGGCGCCCCTCCGACCCGGGCCGCGGCGCGCGAAGCGCAACCGCGCCCCCCTCGGGTGGCCGAGCCGCGGGGGGCGGAGGAGGCCCTGCCGCAGCTCTGACAAGACAGCGCGGTGTCCGGCGCAGCCTGGCATGCGGCCCTGAGGCGGCCCCGCCTCTCCCCGTCCACCCTCGCCCCGTCGCGTCCCGTCCACCCTCTCCCCGTCCACCCTCGCCCCGTCCTGTCCACCCTCTCCCCGTCCACACTCTCCCCCTCCCCGTCCCCTCTCCTCCTTTCTGCAGGAGGACGACGAGAACGGCGACGAGGACGACGACGGCGACGGCGACGACGACGACGACGACGACGACGACGACGACGACGACGACGACGACGACGATCGGGCCGGGCGAAAGGGGGGGACAGCAAAGGGGGGTTTGAGAATCAGCTCACGTAGCTGATTTTCCTGGCGCCTCCCGGCGCCGGGAGGCGCCCACGTATCGAGGGCCCAGGCGGCGGGGCCGAAACCAGCTGCATGCAGCAGATTTCGTAACACCCCCTTTCCCAATCCCCCCCTGTCGCCCGGTTCGAGACGACGACGGACACGACGGACACTACGACAACGGACACGGCGACGGACGCGACGACGATGACGACAACGACGCCGACGTCCGACGACGGCGCCCGACGCCGACGCCGACGCCGAAGCCGACGCCGACGCCGACGCCGACGCCGACGCCGACGCCGACGCCGACGCCGACGCCGACGCCGACGCCGACGCCGACGCCGACGACGACGACGACGACGACGACGACGACGACGACGACGACGACGACCGACGACCGACGACCGACGACCGACGACGACGACGGACGACGGACGACGTACGACGGACGACGGACGACCGACGACGTACGACCGACGACGGACGACCGACGACCGACGACGGACGACCGACGACCGACGACCGACGACCGACGACGGACGACGGACGACGGACGACGACGACCGACGACCGACGACCGACGACCGACGACCGACGACCGACGACCGACGACCGACGACCGACGACCGACGACCGACGACCGACGACCGACGACGACGACGACGACGACCGACGACCGACGACGACGACGACGGACGACGGACGACCGACGACCGACGACCGACGACCGACGACCGACGACCGACGACCGACGACCGACGACCGACGACCGACGACCGACGACCGACGACGGCGCACGACGGCGGCGCGCGACGGCGGCGCCTCGCAGCGCGCGACGGCCTCCGCAGCGGGGCGCCATGCCCTAAGGGTGCCCGCGGGGGCGGCGCGCCTCGGGGCGGCGGGGCGGCGCGGGCGGCGCGAGCGCCGCCGCCGCCGCCGCTGAGGGCGGAGGGGGAGAGGGAGGAGGAGGGGAACTCCTCCTCCCTCTCCCACCTCCTCCTCCTCCTCCTCCTCCTCCCCCTCCTCCTCCTCCTCCTCCTCCTCCTCCTTCTCCTGCTCCTCCTCCTCCTCCTTCTCCTCCTCCTCCTCCCTCGCCTCCTCCTCGTCCTCCTCCTCCTCCGCCTCTTCCTCCTCTTCCTCTCTTCCTCCTCCAGCTCCTCCTCCTCCTCCTCCTCCTCCTTCTCCTCCTTCTCCTCCTCCTGCCTGCAAAATCCCGAGGAGGATTTGCACGAGAACAGATTGATGTCATATGTTACCTGGCAATGAACGAACGGTGCACTGCTTGGTCACATGAGCCAAACGGCGTCGGTAACGACATCCGCCTGACCACTAAACACGCGCATCCTTCTCACCCAGTCGCAACGCTATGTTCTAGCACCCCCCTCGGCCCCTGTGGCCGAATAGAAACGGGGGAGAAGCAAACAGCAAACAGACCGCATGAAAGATAATTCTGCACAGTTGCACAAATGTAGGTAAGCAGAGGCCGAGTCTCCAACCCAGCGAGGTAAGCAAGATGTGAAAGGCTCTCCGCGAACACCATCAGAAGGTTTGAGACGAGTGTCGCAACGAAAAGAATCAACAGTACCCTGAAGAGGAGCATGTCCAGCACCACCAGGGCAATCAGCACAAACAGCTTCGTCCAAACTAACTATCGGCATGAAATGCTTCATCGCCTCCAGCGCTGTCCACAGGATCCGCAAGATAGCGCCATCGAGCGCCACCCAATACATCCCCACAGGAATGTTTGGGATGAGTGGCTTCAGCACCATCCACAGCCCCCTGGAGATCCGCACGCACAGCGCTGCCGTAGTAATCAGCACGAACAACGTCGTCCAAGCCATCTGCACGAACCGCTTCAGAAAATGCTTTATCAGCTGCAGCGCCACCCACGGGATCCCGAGGGGAAAATCCTCCATCGAGATCCACTATATCTTCACCACGACGCACTGCATAAAAAGCTTCGGCGCCATCACGAGCAGCTTCGACCAGATGATCGTCACGAACGGCTGCATGAGCGCCAGCGCCGTCCACAGGATCCACAAGATAACACCCCCGAGTGCCACCCAGTACATCTTCACATCGACGCTCGGCATGAAAAGTCTTCAGCACCATCTTCACTGAGACGCCCAGCAGGTACTCCCAAAGTCACACAACAGCGCGTCCACTACATCTGCCGCGGAGCAGCTCCCGTACTGACGGTAGAAGAAAAGCTTTTCCATGAAATTCTCGAGGACCTCCACAGCGGCGGCCAGCGGCATCTTGGGCGGCACGCCCAACCTGTACGGCGGCGCCGCTTGGTGAGACCAGGTCGCGCCCGCGCAGTCCTCCGCGGCAAGCGCCCACCGCTCCTTCGTGCCGAGCTTGAGCAAGCCGGCAGCAGCAAGGGCGCAGCCCATCATGGGGAAGTGCGCCACGAGCTCATCGCTCAGAGCCCCGTGGCCAGCAAGAGGCCCCCTGGAGGCCCCAAGAGGCGCCCAAGAAGCCCCAGGAGGCCCCCAAGAGGCCCTCAAGAGGCCCCCGGGAGGCCCCCCACGAGATCCCAGCGAACATCCAATAGGCTTCATACCGACAACACAGGCACGGTGGCAGGATGGGCCAAAGGCCATTAGATACTAAGTGGTGAGGAAGCTGAGTACTTTGACAAGAAGGCCCTGGCCACCACCATTGAGGAGTGGAGAGGGCTTGCGGTCGACGTCAACGACATGCATCTGGTATCACTGCAAGTTTTGGTGGATGCAGGCGAGGGTGCTCGTCAAGCGTCCATGGCTTGGGCCAAGCGCACGTGGAAAGAGAAGCCAGGAGCTGTTCATAGACGCGCGTAACCCACCCCCTGAGCCATCCCCTCTCGATGTAACTGTTGATGGCACCTTCACGTCGGATCCCAGCGCGCTACCCCGAGCCAAGAAGGACTCGTGGATGAAGATTTGGCAGGACCCGATAGACATGTAAACCCGCTAGTTGAGGACGGCTGAGGAGATGGCCGGAGAGGCCAGGGACGATACCCTGGAGCCCTCGACCGAAGGCCAGATCTCGACGCGGCTCAGAAGACGGGCCCCACACAAAGCCGAAGGAGTGGATGCTCTGGGCCCGACGATGACGATGACGATGACGATGACGATGACGATGAGACGACGAGACGATGCAACGATGCGACGATGCGACGATGACGATGAGGCGATGAGGCGATGACGTTGACGATGACGATGACGATGACGATGACCTCCATGCCTGAGGCAGGCCTCAGGGGGCTGACGAGAAGCCTCAACCAAGTGGATCGATCACTCGAGTGGCCGACGGCGCCCCTGGCTGCGGCGAGCGCTGTCATTCCCGAGCCTGCGGGCGGCAGCAGGGCGAGCGGCGCGCCCCCACAAGCTAGCGAGACCTGGAGCCGGGCAGGAGGCCCAGCTTACCAGCTCGTGGTCAGAGGGAGCGCGATCAAATTCGAGGCAGCACCCATTGTTCTTGACATCGGCACACCCTACGACTGGCTGCTACAGTCAGCACGGGAGCTCGAGTTCCCACCTGTCATCGCGCTGCTCGAGGTGCTGCTGTTCATGCCACCTCGCTTCCGCATTCTACGATCGACGAGGCCCACAAGAGAGCTCACGAGGCCTGGCCCTGTCCCTTCGTAGATGACACGGCAGGCAGGTCAGATGGCACCCGTTCCATGGTTCTCGGTGAGGTGGGCGCCCTGGCCGATGCTACTTCTGAGGGCTGTGAGGCCAAGCGGCCTATGGTTTCTGATAAAACTAGAGCGCCAGCCTCAAGCCCTGCCCTCAGCAAGCAAGTTGCTGGGATGTTCAGAGAAAGGCGTTCCAGCCCCGTATACTTAGGTCGGGCATGTCCCCATAGAGGCGGATTTTGAGCAAACAAATTAAAGATATTCAAATAATACCGCATAATATCCAACATTCCCAAAAACAACACAAACAAACAAAAATTATCCCGGCAAAGCAAGCTAACAGCGATGTGTAGAAGCATATCTGAAAGCATTCCCCTTAAGATTCAGATGAAAATCCAGTTGTCGAATTCTGCTGTTCTCGCAGTCGTAGTCGCATTCGCGACGACAGTCGCAGCGGCAACGGCAGTCGCAGTCACAGCCTCAGCCTCAGCCTGCCTCAGCCTCAGTCCTCAGCCTCAGCCTGCCTCAGCCTCAGCCTGCTTCAGCCTCAGCCTCAGTCTGCCTTCAGTCAGCCTCAGCCTGCCTCAGCCTCAGCCTGCTCAGCCTCAGCCTCAGCCTGCCTCAGCCTCAGCCTCAGCCTGCCTCAGCCTCAGTCTGCTTCAGCCTCAGCCTCAGTCTGCCTTCAGCCTCGGCCTCAGCCTCAGCCTGCCTCAGCCTCAGCCTGCCTCGGCCGCAGCATCAGCCTGCCTCAGCATTCAAAATGTGGCCCAGGAGTGGAGTTCTGGGAACTCGAAGACCACGAAGTGGTCTACAGTTGGTTCCGGGCACCCAAAATGTAGCCCGGGAATGGAGTTCTGCAAACTCGAAGACCACGAAGTGGCCTACAGTTGGCTCCGGGCATCCAAAATGTGGCCCGGGAATGGAGTTCTGGGAACTCGAAGACCACGAAGTGGCCTACAGTTGGCTCCGGGCATCCAAAATGTACGCCTGGAATGGAGTTCTGGGAACTCGAAGACCACGAAGTGGCCTACAGTTGCTCCGGGCATCCAAAATGTACGCCGGGGATGGAGTTCTAGCAGCGCCAAGAGCGATTTTGCGAGGATGTCCCAAGCGATTTGGGCTTCGGCGGCACCGCCCCGGGTCCCGCCCCGACCACCCTGTGGAGTCATCTGCTGCTCTCTTTTGAGACCACTAGAAACCTATCAGCAAAAGCTGTTAGGTAAAAACGCCTCCCGAAGAGGGACAGGCCCGACTCAACGTATATCCCAGCTCTGCCGTCGGTCTCGGAGTCGACGCTTCTGCGGGTAGGTTCCAAACTCAGAAGACAACGACGCAGCAACGAGCCAAAGCCACCAGCCGCTTCAGCCGCATCGCGAGGAAAAGCCAGAGGTTGCTGGCCTACGCAGGGCCGCGCAGGGAACGCGGCGCACCGGAGCGCTTCCACGGGCGACCTGTGGGCATCAGTGATGGGGCGCGCCGTCAGCACAGGTGGCCATCTTGCGAAGGCAGGCAGCCAGGACGGCCGCGGGGGGGGCTGGGCGGGGCACGCGTCTCACGACTGTCCTGCAGGCCGTGCTCGGCGTCGGCGAGCCCGCGCTCGAAGTCAGAAGGCAGCTCGTTGATGAACGGCTCCAACTCAGGAAGCGACTTTCCGCCTTCCAGCCCAGAATCGGACGTTCCTGGGACCTAGTCAACGTCGCCTGTTATCCTGGCAGAATACGTTGTCGTGGCATCAGGGGCCCCATCGCTGCTGTCCAGGCTACCCTGATCGAGGCTGGGAGCGCCCAGCTCATTTGGGCGATGCGTGGCGTTTCCCTAGGATGGGTGATCTAGATTTTGACCTGAATCCAATCACTGATCACACTGATCTGCTGTTAGACATGGTTGTGGATATCAGGCCACAGCTTTGGACGGGAGCGCGCGACCATCCGCAATGCGAGGATTTGAAAGAAGGAGCCGGCCTCCACGTTGGTCAGTTGGAACTCAACGCCATGGACCGCAGGGGGAAGGCTGATTGAAGGGTCTCAACTTGCGCGTTGTCTCGGGCGGCCAGTGGCCGAAGCAGCGACAGATTGACGCAGACTACTGCGTTGAGGCGGTTCGCCCGCGCTGCCGCAAAGCGCCCGAGACCTTCGATCACCAAGCTTGGCTGTGCAAGTGCAACGTTGGCCACCATGATTTCCACCGCACAGAAGGTCTCACTGCGCAGGCGCTCACACTGTGGGAAGGTGATCCATTCCTGTGGCCCCAAAGGAATGGGGAATGCCTAGCAAGGCGCTCACCATTCCCACATTATCTGGCCCCCATCGCGCCCCATCCGCTCGCCTTCCACGGCTCCTCGAAGATTCGCGATTGTTGTGCCGAAGAACGCCAAGAGCCCACGGTTATCGTCAGAGATAATTCAGGAGGCAAGCATCACCCTGACCCTCACAGGCGTAGGTGCGGCCCGGCGGTGGCAGTCACCCAGTGGGGCACGGGCGGCTGGGCGCCTGTTTTCGGCCTCTCTGCCCCCGTCTTGGACGCCAGGCAGACTGCCCCCCCAGAGCGGCGATAACTGCGCCGGCGCTCGCCCTCCGAGCAGTTCCACGGATCGATCACCTACGTCGCCGACTGTCAGCCTGTCTTGGCCAGGTGGAGAGCTGGTCGTGCCAAGAGACAGCTCGGGCCCACTCAGGGTCTTCGGTGCAGGATCACTGTTGGCGCTTCGGCACCGAGCTCCCCAATCTGTCAGCACTCTTTGGACGACCGCCCACCTTGAAGACAGTGAGCAGGTGCTCTCAGCCTGGCAGGTGCTTTTTAAAACTCCAGGCAAGGTGTGTGCGTGTGTGCGCGCGGACAGGTGGGCCTGAAAAGCGGCCGATGAGCGGTGGAATATGCAGGTTGCTCGCCCTGTCCAGCGCACCGAGAAGTGTAATTCTCTAGCCACTCCTACCAGACGCAGGACCAGCAGAGCCCTTGGAAGCGCCCTTCACAGAAATACTAAGTTAGCGAAGAGTAAGCGCGCACGAGGCGCACAAGAGGGCTTGCGCAGACCGTCCCAGGCCGTCTGGGGCCGTTCCTGAACGCTCCGAGGGCCCTCGAAGCGCTCCCTGGACGCGAAGGTGTGCCGTCTGGAGACTGGGAGCTGTTTTGGCCAAGGGCGGCCGTGAAGCCTCCTTGGGGGCAGTTCTGATGTTTGATGAAGCCTTTTGGGACCGCGTGAAGGATCGTCAGGAATGTCTCACAAGGCTCTCTGGGGCCTCCTGGGCCTTCCTGGGAGCCTGCTGGAGACTTCTCGGGGTCTCTCGAGGGCCCCTGGGAGCCGCTGGGGGCCTCTCGGGGGCCTCCACGGTCAGAAAGGCCGAAACGTTCATTGGTGTTCGCCCTCAAAGTTTTTTGCCGGAGATGCTCTGCCCCACGGCGGTCAAGTCACTGCCGCCTCCTCGCAGCTCTGACCACAGAAATGCTCTGCCCCACGGTGGTCAGGCCTCTTTCGCCTGAGACAGCCCCGCAACTCCGACCTCAGAGAGGCGATGCCCCACGGTGGTCAGGCCACTTTCGCCTGAGACACCCTCGCAACTCTGACCTCAGAGATGCTGTACCACACGGCGGTCAGGCTACTGTGGCCTGAGACATCCTCGCAAGCCTGGGTTCCGAGATGCCCTGGGCTGAAATGGTCGCGCCACTGTCGCCTGAGACATCCCGATACTCTGACCTCGGGAATGCCTGGCTACGAGACGCCCTGAGCTGAATTGGTCTAATTACTTTCGCCTCAGACATCCTTGCAATTCTGACCTCGGAGATCGCCAGAAACATCTGTGCAACTCAGGCTTCTGGGGCCCATCCTTCGCCCCCCCCACCCACGCCTCGCCGATCGTGATGGAACACGAACGGCCGACGATAATTAAGTGCGAACGCTGACAACGGGCGCCGCCGCCGCCGCCGGCGCGGGCGCGGCCGCCGCAACGGCCGCCTCCGTTGACGCCGCCGCCGTCGTCGTCAACG